TATATATATATATATATATATATATATATATATATAGTATCATGATTGAATGGTTTGATTAGTTAAAATTGATTATACAAAAATTTAAATTAAAGGGATAAGATTTTGTGTAAGTGTTTAAATTTATAGTTAACATCAATGAATCTCTATGTATGTGTATGTGTGTTTGTTTGTATGTGTGTATGATTTACTTGCTTACATCCACTTATTTCTTTAGAAGTGTAAGTTAGCAAGTTATATCTACAATTTTTTCAAAATACACAAGTGTAATTTGTTAACTTACTCATTTTTAAAACAAGTGGATATAAGTTAACAAATATTTGAGGTTTGTTAATGCAAACACACATTTTTTTTTAGAAGGACAACATTAACAAGTTATAATTATAAAATTAAAAGAATAAGATTTGATATAAGTGTTTAGACTTACATTTAATATCAACGTATCCTTCTTGTATATGTGTATGTGCACGTGTGTGAGTTTTTATGTGTGTGTATGCTTTACTAACTTACATTCACTTGTTTTTTAGAAGGGTACGTTAGCAAGCATCATCTACAACTTTTTTAAAATGCACATAAGTATAATTTGCTAACTAACTTACTCCTTCTAAAAATACAAGTAGATATAAGTTAACAAATGTTTATCGGATTTGCTAACATAAACCCACTTAATTTTACAAGGAGAACATTAATAAGTTATAATTACAATACTTTTTAAAATGGATCTAGATATAACTATCTAATTTACTCTCTAAAAAACAAGTGAGGGTAAATTAGCAAATTATATATATACATACATACATACATACATACATACACACATACATATATATATATATATATATATATATAAATAATATGTGTTCTATATTAAATTTCAACAATTAAACTATTAAATTAAAAGTTTCTAATATATAGATAATCTTCAAAATTTTAAAAAGTTGAATAATATTTAATACTTCATTAATCATAAAAATATTTTATACTTTGATTTAAATCTATATAACGAAGTATCGTGTAATTTTAATTTTATTTTTTAAAATTTACAAACTTAATATATACATTAAAAACTTATAATTTAACGGGTTAGATCATTGAAATTTGATCTAAGATATTTTTATCTATCAATATTTTATGTTACATTTCTATTTATGAATACTGATGTATAATTTATCAATATTTATTTTTAATTATTAAATATTTTAAATTATTTTTGAATTATTAAATATTATATATTGTTAAATTTCTTAATTATTAAAATTTAACACATGTATATTTTCAATAAACTTTAATATTGAAATATCAAAATTTTAGACATATATTAAAAATATATTTTGACAATTCTATTAACTAATGAATATCATAAATTTGAACATACTTTTCAAATTCAATTGTATGAATGAGAAAATATAAATGCATAGAAAGTTGTATGTAAAGAAATATTACTTAAGAGAATACATAAAACCAAAACTAAATATTTATTAAAAGATAAAAAAATTATTAATTTTTAATTTTTTATTCAAACCTTGTTATTTATGTTTTTTTTTTTATTAATTGTCTTATTTTAAAAATTTATATTGTCCTTCAAAATTTAATAATTTTTTTTCAAATCTTATAAATTCATTAAATACAAATCCATTAAAATTATATTATAAAATTTTGATTTAAAATTTAAAAAAAAATCTTAAAAATTATTACATTCCTACAAATTTTTTAAAAAGAAATATTAATTTTTTTACAAAATATTTTAAAATTTACATGATTTTTTTAAATGTTAAAAAGGTTTTATGCCGAACCTAATACACCCTTTAATTCTTGCTGCGGTTACAAGAGCTTTTAGCAGGGGTTGAAGGTCCAATTGAAAGTCCTTTAAGGGATGTATTTCGCCGGCACCTAAATTTGTCTTCGAAAAATGTAATATGACACATTTTTCTTAGCTTTTCTGGTATTAAAGACAACACGCATCTCTACTTACAATCTTTTTGGGATGCTGAATCTACTCTTTCACATGCTAACACAAATCCTAAAAATTAAGAAAATATATAAACAAATCGTGCACGATTCATTGTAATTTGACTTAACATGTCTCTGTTCACAAATGGCGACAGAATGTAATGACTACCATGTACCCTTTGATTAAGGTAGTATATCTTAAGTCTTAACTAAGATCAATAAAGCCATGTGCTTCAATTTAGGTGACAGGACATTGAGTCTGGCCAGTGGCCAGTATCTTTTGTACAGTTGAGGTTTACACATTAAACAAATAAACAAATTGACATATTCATATTTTAAAATCAAATTATTTCCCCTTTCATAACTGTTTATTATGCAACTATTACTTGTTATTTATGGTTGTATATGTTTGAAATTTATAAAGCTATTTAATAAAAGCTTAATACATCATTTGAAATTTTAAATTTTAAATATGAATTTTTTAAAAAAATTTCAATTAGATTCTTAAGCTAAAAAATAATTATAATTGGATTTTTCATCTTTTTCTTTTTTGAAATTAGTCCTTAGGACTAGGGAATTGTTTAGGATATGTGATATTTCACAAAATATTTTTTATATTCTCATATCTTGATAGATGCATTAGATTATTATTTCATATCATCATTCATGCGTATTAGATTTTAATTTTTACCCACTAATTTTTTTTATTATTTCGTAATTCTTATTACTAAAGAGATTATGAGAGAATTTTCATGGGTATTAAAACTTGATATACATGAATGTGATATGAGATAATAATCTGATGTGATTGTTTAAATATGAAGATATAAAAAAATATTTAATTAAGTTTCATGGACTATAAATGAATTTTTAACCCAAGGAACTAAATTACAAAAGTATAAAACGTGAAGAATTTAATTACAATTATTCTTAGTTTTTTTTTTTGAAACATAAGAAATTTGCATTATGTCAAAGTTCATCGGTCTAGAGTCTCTAAAGTGAACAAATATTACCATATCATCACCATGGAATGATGCGTTCTACAATCATCAATTTCACCTACCACCAAGCCTTATGCTCGCTACCAATCATGTCATCACTTTATTTTTCCATCCCCTTTTGATTTTCATTTTATTCTTTATTTACATGTAAATATTTGCTTTATGTACAAACACACTGTGTTTATTGTTACTTCTCCCTCCAGGAAGAAGAGCAACCATCTTCCTCTACTAAAACCCTTGAAGTACTAGAGACTATCTCAAAGCTGAAGATGATATATGGTCACTACACTAGTCACGTCCTTCACAAGTTCATTTGCTAACAATTTTGCTCTAATCGTCGTTATCAAAAGTTGCTCAACAAGTTCTGTTAGGACCTTAATTCTAACAACGAAGACTTTTCTTTGGACTAGTTTCTCTTATCGTAGTTTTTGCTAGTGTCAAAAGGAAGAGTAAACATAATAAGCATGATCATGAAAAAAATAAGGAGATTTTAAAGATTTTATGTTTTATTTTTTATGTTGACTACTTTAAAACTTTGCTCCATCTTAAGGGAAACATCTCTATCTTAAAAACACTCTTAGTGTATGCACTACATGATTTTTATCATATATGCACTAATTAGATAAGTTATATGCATTGATATGGTAATGTTTGACATGCTTTGTATGGTCATATATTCATTTTTTAATAGAATTCGACTAAATCTTAGGCGCATAAAACTATGCTTTTTCAAAAGTGTATTTGTCCTCATAAAAGGGAAAGATTGTTAGATCAAAAGATAATCTTAAATCCTTCAAAAATATATGTTTTAATAATAATAAACTCAATCATTTTTTTAATAAAGAATTATTTTTAAAATCATACAAATAAGACGATAACATAAAACAATTCTATAATAGCTCGATTGGTTCTTAATAGATCTTCTTTTTAATTAAGTGAATTGAGAAGATCTTTAATATGTGATGATCTGGTTTATGTGTCCATAGATTACCTCATATTTATATGTAATTTATATGGTGATAGCAAAGTTGAGTTTTAATAATGATGGCTTTATTGGAAACATGTTTTGGTTAGTTTTTATCTTGATTTTGTTCCATTTATAGAGGGTTTTGTAAAAGCTGTTTTTAGCATTCGTTAATGATCTTTCCTTTATTTTATTAAAGTCATTTATTCAGTAAAAAAGAATCCAAAAAAAAAAAGTAATCTAAATTCTTTTGCTCATGAGTCCAAGTTTATTAAATATAATTACTGTATTTTAGTATTAGTTTGAGATGTAACATATTAGAGGAGAAGCAGGTCACATCGTGTGTCGTGTGTGCTAGAGATTTGGGGATTATGCAGTTATCATGTTTTGTTTCATCATGCTAAGTAATTCCATATAGCAATAAGAGAAAGACTCAGAAACTTAAACATGTGGTTCAGCGATAGGAATTGATCTACGTTGAAGCAAGATTAGAGATTTGAATCTTGCCTTGCATATACAGCCGCGCGTTAAATCTTGGAATCAGCTATTCCACTCTTTAAAGTACTTATCGAGAGTGTGACCGTAATAGAGACCAAACGAAAACCTAAACACATATATTTAATTTTTACCTAAACTCTCCACTTGTCTAGAAGCTAGATGCGAACATTTCACATTTGATATCTCACGTGTTACTTTCCTTTCACCTTCTTAGTTGTAATACATATTTTAAGTCCTTTTAGACTGGAGTAGCGTTCCTTTCTCACCCTCAAAGCCTCTCCCACGCGCAGCCCCACTTGGCACGCGCCACAGCGCAACCACAAAGCGTCGTGCCCCTCACGCGCTCCCCCCGCGAAGCGAAGTGAAGATAGGAAAAAAACATGACAAAATATTTTAATTGCGAGTGGTTTCCTTATTCAACGACCGCGCCTATGTAGTCTGTAACGCACGTTAGGTGAGGACCGACGCGCATAAATACTCCCTCCATTGCCCTTCCCACTGTCACCATTCTCTGCGCCTTCTCACACTGCAACATTTTCCTTTCCATTCTCAGAGCTTTAGTTTCAAGCGAGTACGGTATCTATCTGCTCCCTCACGTGCACATTCCCTCTCTCTCTCTCTCTTGCTTTCTTGTAACTAGGAAATTACTGCAAAAGGAAACTCCTCCAATTTTGCACCCATGACCCAGCATTCTTTTTTTTTTTTTTTTTTTTTTTTTTTTTTTTTTTTTTTTTCTTACATGGTTTTGTGTTTGTTTGTTTGTTTGAAGACTGTTAATTTGCAACTTGCATTGTGATCTGAATCTCCCACTTCATTCTTCCTTGGAACTTGTTTGTTGGTGGACTGTCTAACATACATGAAATTCTATAGGTTTTGTTGAAGCTAATATTTAATTAGAATTGGAGTTTTATCTCACCACACTAAACATAATAAAATATTTTATTTGATTTCGATATATATTAATGAGGTGAAACTCTAATTTTGATTGAACAACATTAGAACAACATTGGCTATATCATAAATAATGTATCCTAGTTTTGTCCATCATCCAAACCAAGTAAGTGCTCATATTTGATGTTTGAAGGGTTGTGTTATAAATTGTATGACTGAACAACTATTCATGTCTCTTAGACTTGACTCCCTTTATGTAACGAGTGTTGTTGGACTTATCAGGTCACCTTGTTATTGAATTGTTATTGGTCCACTAGCAGATGTCTAGTCATGTAAACTTTTGCAAACTTCACCCCAAAAATGTTTGATCCTCGGTGTGAAGGTGTGTGTAAGAAATCCTTGTTAACGGAATAAGATGCATATATAAATGGAGAATAATCATTATTTTATAAGTCAGTTTTTTAAGGTTGAATTAAGCTCATATCTTCTTTTTTTAAGAACTATTGAGAAATTATGAACTGTTAGACTATGGATTGTCTCTTTCAGACTCAATGATTTCTAGAAGACACACTTAATAAATAGACGTGATGAAAGCTGAGAGGACTTTTTGCGTTCATATTGAGGTTTAGGATTCCCCGTTAGTATGTTCTTTAGCGTGAGGGATTAGGTGCTTTTGCCTCGTGCGTGCGTCTTCTCCCTGCTAGTCAAATTGAGATTCTGAGTTTTGACCGTTTGATTATTAGTATTATTTAATGGGGATTGCGTAAATGTGTTGACATTCAATGGTTCGGTAACAGTTTTGACAAGGGAATCTTTCTTTCGTGCTGCCTTCTGTTTTGAAACTTATTATTGGATTTTAATATTGAACTTTTTTGACCTGGTTTTATTTATTTATTTGCGAAAAAAACGTTTCGTTTTTCTTTCATGAGTGCATCGTTGTTTTCTTTAGAGCGGTCTCTGCATGAATGATTGATTGATTCAGTTTTTGTCGACAAGTGATTCTGGTTTGTCTGCCTTTTACTACTGTTTAAATTTTAATCACGTTGCTAAATATGTTATCTCTTTCTTCTTCTTCTTTTTTTCACGCTCGATTCCTCGGCGTTTTGTTCTAATAATTGCTTCTTGTCTTTGGGATCGTGTTTTTGGTCTAATAATTGCTTCTTCTCATTGTGATCATGTACTGTCTAGCAGGGGATTTGGGGATCAACGTCCTTTCTATTTCTTTTCTTCTCCACTTCCACCATTATTAAGATTTTGAGAAAAATAAATAAAATGGACATGATATACATTTAATGGAAAGTACCATTTATTTCTCTAAAGTCATAGTAACGAAAGAAACGTGCAGAAGCTTTTTCTGAGATTTGATGTCTCTAAGCTAGAGTGAATAAGGGTAAAGTAGTAAAGTAGTAAAGTAAATAATGTTAGTGGTTGATGAGAAAATATTTAATATGGACTATTGATTTTCTGATATTACTTCATTCTTCCTATTTACTCACTTTAGAAGAGTAGGATCAGGGAAGGTAAAAATAATAAATAAATAGAAGGGATAAAAAGGGTCAGATTGTGAAGTTGACAGCTATGCATGCTCGACTAGCCACTCTTAGATTGTTGTTTTTGAGTGTTTTTCGTTGAAAAGACAAGTCCACATTGGTTATGTTCATGTTTGTGTCATGATGGTCATTTTGAGTCTGTAACAGGACCACCATGGTGAGTCAGAGTGACGTTAAGAAATTCTGGGCATAAAGTTATGTGAAATTCTAATCATACAACTATTTTTGCTTGCTCTTTTGTTTGTTTATTTGCCTTTAGCAGTTTATGGTCACTTGATGATATTCAATGAATTCAGAGTTTCAAATTAATTAATTGCATGATCATTTTTTCCTTAGGAACTCAGTTGTTGATAAGCTGCTACCTCAAAACCATTGACAGAAAAAGAGTTGGGTGAAGTGGAAGTTTGATAGACACTAGTTCAATTTGTTCTGAATACTCCTTAAAGGTCTTACATTGTTGCTTGCTTCACTTGAAATTGTGGATAGACCTGGATCCAATGGACTTGAAGACAAATCTTACTCCTGTCCTTACTGATACCACACCCTTAACAAGGTCAAGGCTTGGTGTGCCTTCAGGTTTGTCACCTTCTTACTCTTCTAAAGGGGCAACCTTTCCCCATGGTCCCTTGCTGGCAATTCCAAGGAAGAAGACAGGAATTCTTGAAGATGTTCGTTCTAACGGTTGGCTTGATGCCATGAAATCATCTTCTCCTACTCACAATAAAGTATCCAAGGATGTTAGTCATGGGATTGGATCATCTGATGCTGCTTATAATTCCTGGCTGGTATAACATACTTTCCTCTCAGTAATCTCTTGTGTTCAATAATTTTGGATGTTATGTTTATCAAATTTCCTGTTGCCACTTCACAGCTTAAGTTTCCATCAGCACTTGCATCGTTTGATCAAATTGCAAACTGTGCTAAGGGGAAGAGAATAGTATTGTTTCTGGATTATGATGGGACTCTTTCACCCATTGTGGACAATCCTGACTGCGCTTTCATGTCAGACAATGTATGTACTATTTATTATGTAATGTTCTCTTTTGATTTAGTGTCCAGATTTTCAATTTGATGTTTTTCTTCTCATGTTATTATTTTTGCCGATTCTTAATTATCCTGGAACTTTCTGCAGATGCGTGCTGCTGTTAAAAATGTCGCAGAATGTTTTACAACGGCAATAATTAGTGGAAGAAGGCGCGACAAGGTAGTTGAAGAATTGCATTACTCACCTGCAAATAACAAGTTTCCTTGTTGATCATCATTTTTGACTTTGATTTTAACCTTTATTATATACCCTATTGGATCAGGTTTGTGAATTTGTTGGAGTAAGAGAGCTCTATTATGCTGGTAGTCATGGGATGGACATTATTTGTCCTCGTAGACAATCTAATTCTGATAATCACCCTGAGTGCATTAGTTCTGCTGACAAACAGGTACTAGTTTCAATGCTTTTAAGTGACATATGTTTGTGAATATATGTCCGAGGGTATGTGTTGATAAATTTTTGGAAACTAAAAGTAACTTTTGTATAACTTAATTCTTAGAAACTTTCTGATATTATCTCCCTTAAAAGTTAATTTTTAACTTGTGGAGAAGTTAATTTTAACTTATGAGAACTTATTTTATTTGTTCTTCTTCTAGAAGTGCTTATGGAAAAGTTTGTCCAAAGATGACTTAATGTGCCTCAATTTTGATTTATAATCTTTTGAAATTACAGGGTATTGAAGTCAATTTATTCCAACCTGCTGCTGAATTCCTCCCCATGATTGAAGAGGCATGTATATTTGAAAAATACAATACAATGAAACAGTTTTCAATCTTTTTTTCTGTATCGGAAAGTTGTATGCTGATCAACTAATGTTTGTGCAGGTACTTGAGTTGCTCAAGGAGTGTACAAAAGACATTGAAGGAGCATTAGTTGAGAACAATAAATTTTGTGCGTCTGTGCATTACCGCAATGTAGATCAAGAGGTATTCACTTCTTTTCTGATGCCTATTCATTAGCATAAGAATGGAGAGTCTTTCTTCCCAAGATGGCACCATCTTTTAACTAACTTATTTCATATTTTATCATGATTGTATGTATTTACTTCCCCTTAATTTGTTTCATTTAATGTACAGAATTGGAGTATTGTGGGACAACGTGTATATGATGTTCTGAAGGATTACCCACGTTTGCGTTTAACTCATGGGCGGAAGGTACCATTTCAAGGCCCAAAAATTTTACTCATTTTTAAGAGAACATAACTCTTAAAGTACTTTTTAATAATCTATGTTCACTAACTTTCAGGTTTTAGAGGTCCGGCCAGTGATCGACTGGGATAAGGGAAAAGCTGTCACATTTCTACTTGAGTCACTTGGTGAGTTCGTTGTTTTTATTTAATGGTCGCTTTCTTTGAAGATCTTAATTTTGTTATGCAGTATATGACACAAGACATCTTTATTTATTTAGGACTTAACAATTGTGATGACGTGCTAGCAATATATGTTGGAGATGATAGAACAGATGAAGATGCATTTAAGGTAATAATACATAGCTTGTTATGATGTCATGCCTCAAATTGCCCTCTTTGTAGATTTCCTTAATACTGATATCAAACGGACTGTTACAGGCTTTGAGAGAAGTTAATAAAGGTTGTGGCATCTTAGTGTCCCCCGTCCCAAAAGAAACCAACGCAGTTTACTCTCTTCGTGATCCCTCAGAGGTAATTCTCTTGATTTTAATATAGTTTGTAATTTGTATGTTTTTTTGTTTTTTTAACTGAATCTGAATCTAATTAGATGAACTAGTCCATTTAAGAAAATAAAGCACTCCCTGGCCTTACTTTTTTTATTTTAAGAATCTAAGTTTAGTTTAACTCAATCCCTGAAAAACTGGTTTATTTTAGTCTTCACTAGTCTATGTAGGATTTCTAACATTCCTCTGACACTAAGATTGCAGCGTCAAGTTTATTGAACTAAATATTTGCAAGTGATCTTATAGAATAATAATTAGGGTAGGCTCTGAATCTGATACTGTCTTCAAAATGCTAGAGATCCTACATAATGATATGTCAAAAATAAAGTATATAATAAGCTAATTTTGTAGAGGTGAATTTGAACATAATGTAATAGTATGCGGATCATTTGGTTTATTTGATTGTTTATATTGATATTGTTTTTTGATGTCATACTTTAACCAATGTTGTATTGTATCTGCAGGTGATGGGATTTCTGACATCACTTGCGGGATGGAAATCAAGCATTCAAGGTCGCTGAAAAGCTTTACATGGTGTATAGAGGAGAACATTCTCCGCTATGCTATATATTTGAGAGAGTCTTTTTGTTTCGATTTTGGGGTTGTTAGAAGACGTTTCAAGGGGTCTGCTGGAACATATTTGAGCTCAGAAGACCTCTGACGGTAACAACATTGTCATTACCTTGTGTGGTAGCTGTAAATTCCTGGCTGAGAATTATATATATATTGGAAAGATTAAGGAAAATCTGCTCAGAAGGTTTTTTTTGTTCCCCATTAGAAGTTCATATTATTGTATTTATTTCATATTCTTTCTTCAGTTTGGTTACTGCTCCTAACCAGCTCCTTGGGGATTAAATATGAAATTGTTCTGTTTTTTTTTTTTTTTTTTTGTTGAGAGAGAATTATCATATGTTAATTTTTTCAATGTGTAGATTGAATATTATAATTTGTACTACCCATTTGATAGTGCCCCCACTTCGTCACTCTTTGTACTGTCTTCAAATTATTCTAGAAAAGATCCTTTGAATTGTGATGGACTTATTTGAGGAGTAAGGCTTCATCATTTGTACTCATCGACATTTCTACCTAGCTCCATCCGTGAACATTTTGTGCATTAACCCTATTGTTTGTCTAATAAATTAGAAATCAATGTGGAAGATTGTATGGTGTTCCCTAGTGTGGAGTATTTGGAAAATGAGAAATGATTACATATTTAATGACTGAACAATTAACGAAGAAGAGCTTTGGGAAAAAATTTCTTTTTAATGCATGGTTTTGGTTAGATGAATTGTCTAACAACTTTTGACATTCTTTTGGGCAATGGATTATAAGTTCGAGAGCTTGTACTAGTATAAGAATTTGATTGCTTACTAGAACATTATTTTTTTTTTGTAAAGGTGTGATTGAATAAAAGTGATTCATAATAATTACAGATAATGATCATAACAAATGATTTATAGATGATGAAAATATAAGTGACACATGGAATTAATGGAGGTATAGGAATAGTTAACATGATTTCTTTTTCTTTGATGAATACATTTATATAAGTGAGTATTAACTATTAAATGGACATAACATTTAATATGAGGAGATGAAAGTAATAGTAAGAATGAATCAAACCCGGAGTTTATATCCATATCTATAGGCATTTGAGCTTTATTAATAGTTAATTTATTTATTTTTTAATGATTCTTGCCTTATTTCTTTATTTAAGACATGCACACGTGCTTGGCTGATAGGCCTTCGATCATATGTATTCTAGCAAGGACTTGTGACAATTAATCATGCCTTTTCATTAATCATACAATATATAAGGTAAATCAAAACTTTTTTTTTTTAAAAAAAAAAAACAACTAATTAGTTAATAAGTGAGATTTTAGGCTAGTAAAAATTTTTAACACGGAGCCAATCTATCTAATTAATTATTATTGTTGAAACTTTTACCATTTAATCATGCCTTAAAATCAATATACTTACTTATTTAAAGGGTTAGACCTTTAGGTACATAGAAGTTTAGGTTTAACATTCTAAATCATATTATTCTATTTAAAAGTTTTAGTATGAAATTTTGTGGTTCTGAATTATATTAAATATTTGAAAAAAGAACTTTATCATTTATAACAATTTCACTCTTCACCATGATTTGAGTATATTACCTCTAATAATTAAAACTAATGAAATATATGCAGCCTATTAAAAAAAATATAATGAAGTAGTCTTTAATGAGCTACCAGTCAAAGGCTAAGTACAGTGGGCCAATTAATACAGGAACTTATCTTTTCTTACTAAAGCATTCTTCCTAAGACAACATTTCGTTGCTCAACGCTTTGAAATTGGAGACTATTGCCCCGTAGCTCATATGATTAATTAAATATGAAGGGTATCTTTGGAGTCTTGAAGATCAACAATTATCACTATATTATTTAGAAGTTTAGGTGGGAGCATCTTTCTATTCGTGATGGTTGTTAACGGTGAAAGACCGAAAGGAATTATAAAATTAACTTTTAAACACTATCTTTTAATCTAAGATTTTATTATTTTTGCACAATAAAAGTTTCAAAAACATCGAATAGAATAGATAACCACAATAGCAATGCGAAGCAAAAAGGTGTTAACGAAACCCTGATTCATACTTAATGAGCTGCAACAGTATGCGAATGAGTAACAAAGAGTTCACCCCACTCTGCAGAAGACAAAAAAATGATTCAGTAACAAAGGAGAGGGAGAGAGTTTACAGAGAAAAAAACGAAAAGTGATGAAGAGTGAATGCGCGCGGTGTGCCTCGCACTCTCTTATTGAATTTTGCGTCCTTTTTTTACGTCGGACCTGGTAGGGTCCGACAGAAAATGTCAAATCTACGTTGGAAACAACATACATCTGACGTAGATTTGACATTTTACGTCGGACCCGGTAGGATCTGACGTAAAAAAGTTCGCGAAAATTACAAAAATGCCACCGCGTCTTTTTTATGTCAAATTTTAGTGTGTCTGACATTAAAGAGGTGACGTAATATACTAATTTCCACTAGTGATGGTGATTTAAAAAACTAAAACCACGTGCATGTAGGGTTCTGTCCAATATTTTCATTTTTAGTCCTAGGTACTATATGCTCATCTTAAGTCGTTTTTGGCTTCTAAAATGTTGGAGCAAAGTAAAAGGTGGATAAGTATGATAGGTCGTTTAGATTAATCTATTAATATGTATCAGTAGATTGTTTTGTACTATCAAATTTGATAGTGCACTATTTGTGACTAAAGAACAAATTCTTTTTCTCTCTCTAATAATGTTCCCATTTTCATTTTCATTCCTCTTCCCCCAACATTTACTATTTCATAGAACCAGAGCCACCAGTTTTTTCTCCTCCTTATGGTCACTATCAAAACCATCACTATATGAAGAGTATTGTTCCTCATAGAAAAGTCATGGTCCATGAAAAACTAGAGCGAGACGTGACAACATTTAGACAATAGCTTAATCCTTCTTATGTTTCTATAGGTTTCTAGGTGAGGACATAAGAGGGAAAAGGTAAAGGAAATTTTAAAAATACAATGTTATAAATACTGCACTATTAATTTTAATAGAACATTGTTAGATTAAAAGGGAAATTAGGACTTTTCAAAATCTATATTTTAATGATAACAAATATATTCATTTTTATAAGTATGGAAAGATTAATGTATAAAATGAATGCATGTTATCGTCTAAAATCAACAAAAGATAAGTCTTATGAATGTCTACCCATCAAACTGAATGTATCATTTGTCTTTAAATGAATTTGTTTGTTGTATTATTTATTATGTATGATATTTCAATCATCTATTTTAAATGTACACCTAAACAAATTGAAGGAATAAGAATTTATTTAAGGATTTGGAACCACTTTAAAAGATGATGATTCCGTTTTGTTAGGAAAATTACAAATACAACAATCAAAGTATGTAAAGTTAGCTGAAAGTGGTTTTCGATTGACACAGGCTACAATTTCTACCCTTTTTATCTTAAAGTTGATAAGCACATCTTTGATCAAATAAAAAGTGATTATATGGTGAAATGCATTAAATATTCTCATTAAATACACCAACGAACACATCTTCATACAAGGAAGGAAGATGAAGCAAACCTACAAGGAAAACTTGAAGGAAATGCATCAGTCATCTTTAGAGCTACATATATAAAGAAGCTTAGATTTATAGAGAGAATATAGAACATTCTCTCCAATTCAAAATCTTTCAACTCTCTCTATAAAAACAATTTTTGTACTCAACTATTGTATCATGTCTTGTTTGTAAGATGAATATTGGTTAGTTACCCTTAGCTTAAACTTTATCTATTATCTTAAAACTTAAAGAGACTTTATGCTTAAAGAATATTTGGTGCATAAAGTCTAGAAAGGTTTTCTTCTAAAAAATACTAGAGTAATTTGCTTAAAGAGACAAGTCAAAGAATACTTAGGTTGACCAATAATTACTTGTTAAAAAATACTTTTGAAACTTTGTGAATGTAACGCCATGAAAATATCGAGCTATTTGTTAGATATACTCTATATATATATATGTATGTATGTATGCATGTATGTATATGTTGTTTATATGGATTTGGATTGGATTATGGAGATGTGGATTTGAAATGTACTTACCTCTATGCATGTTGTATGTTGATGTGGTTTTGATTAGTTGTTTAAGCATGGTAGTGATTTTATAGTATGAGATGAGAGATTGATGTTTTGAGAGGTTTATATAGGCATGTGTGTGCATGAATTTGGTGAATGATGCATTGTACACCATTATACTGAATTGGTACTAAGAGGGAAGAAGACTGATCACCTTCCTTCTCATCTTGGTTAAGTGAAGTATTATGGCATGCAACTCATTATTCCAAGCATATGTATCTGAAAGTGATGTTTGTTTGTGTGTTAATACATGTTGTATTTCATATGGTGGTGAGTTGTGCGTATTGCATGGAAAGGAATAGGATGGGTAGGAGATTGAAGGATAGGAACATACGATAAATCTGGTCTTTCTGAGTGAATTTGAGGTTGTTTTAGAGCTTAGGGAGTTGAAATACTTCAAGGAATAGAATATTTGAGGTGAATAGTTACTAAGGGTGAAATTTGGAAATTTCAAAAAATGGCTATATATAGGGACTTAGGACCGGAGGGTCTCATTTGTTAGACACGGACAGTTCCAGAGAGAGAAAGTAGAGAGAGGGGCTCTAGTCCGGAGGGAAGCTGAGGACACATTTGGGAAGCTTATCAAGCCAAGATCAATCTTCACAACTAGAGTATTAAGAGATTTAGCCTCTAGAAGCTTGAAAAGTGAGATTGGAGTTTGAGTTGGGATTTGAGAGTTTTGTCCAAATCTTGCATTTCTGAGGTTTCTAAGGTAAGGGTGGTACTTATGAGACTTAATCTAGTATGTATGGGTTTGAAATATCATATTAATTCCATGATTTATGCCTGATTAAGGATGGATTGAGGGGAAAGGGTTTTCGTTGGGGTTTCTTCATGATTTCCATGGATTAATGGTTAATACTTGATTTTATTTCTTAAAATGTTATTTTTGGATATTGTTTATGCTTTATAATGGTTCGAACTCATCTAATTTGGATTGAATTCATGATTGGAAGGAATTTTCAAGGTTTTCGAGGGTTTCTGGTTGTAAATGCGCCGGGCGCAGTTCTTGGCACCGGATGTGAATTCATCAGAGACCATCATTGCCAAATCACGCCGGGCGCGAGGTTAGTCGCGCCGGGCGCAATTTGAAATGAGAATCCCTGGGTGAATCACGCCGGGCGTGGGAAGAACCATGTCGGGCGCACTATTAGACGTGGTCCTTGTATTTCGGTTACTGATATTGCGCCGGGCACAACATAATTGTGCCGGGCGCAATGACCTCCGCAGGTCTTTATTTGAGTTTTACGCCGGGCGGGATAATAGTGAGCCGGGCGTGAGTATGTTGGTCTTGAAGTCTTCATGAAAGTTGTATCCTTGGATGTTAGCTTTCCAATGGCATTGGAATCACCCAAAAAGGAGGTCTAGAACTCTAGATATGACTGTTTTAGTGAACAAGGGTCAAGCTGCCAACATTGGTTATAACTATTGCGGTTTTTAGAATGTTTAGCAAAGTAGATGATGGAATTAGGACTTGATGTCTTCATAAGATTTTTAGGAAATCTTCTTATATTTCATATGAGATAAAGATGAGCATGATAGGAGTAGTACAACTCTTGATATGCTATTTTATGTTAAGATTGTCATTTCACAAAGAGTGATTTGGTTAAGTTGATAATTATTTTGGGTGTTTAATTAATTATGTTGTTATATTGAGTAATTTGGCATGGTTATGGAAAAGTTTGTATGTAATTATGGAATATGCTATGTGTGTTTGGTTTGGAAAGCTAATAGGACTTAGAGGAGTAAGGTTATGGTATGGATTGGGAGATCTCTTGGTGAAATCAGGATATAATCTTTGGGAAAATGTGGAATTTGGGAGTCCCATGGTGAGGATTCCTGTGAGACCCCCGTACGGATTTTCTTTTCCCCAACCCTCTTCCTCTCTAAACTCTCACTCTCTCATTTCTCTTGTCTCACTCTCAACTTTCCCTTTTCCCTTGGACCTTTCTCTTGCTATTACAAGGTAGTGGAGCTGAGTGAAGTGGGTTGCTAGTTGGTGTCGAATCTCCTTCTTCTTCTCTCCCGTCTGTTCAAGCTCATTTCATCTTCTTCTCGTTTCTCCTTTTTCCGGCAGCTAGGAATTCTTGATTCGAGGTAAGGGAAGCTAGGTCTCGCTGATCTTTGGCTGTAAATGTGTTTTAGAACCCTCTTGTTGGCTGGTGTTGATGATTCTTGGTTGAGATGGCTGAAAATGGAACTTTGGGGGGGGGGGGGGTTGGGTTTTGAAAGAAATTTGGGGATTTTTGATGTTTAGTGGTTGCATGTTACAAATGAGGCGTTTTTATTGTTGTTTGATGAAAATGGGGACTTTTGGCTGGGTTGCATGTGGATTTTCTGTTTAGTTTTGCAGGTTTTGGGGGCTTTTTGACTAAAGTGGGGTCGTTGACCAACTTATTTACGTAAATGAGGCTCTTTTGAAAGTATTTATGCCTTTGGGACTGTTTACAACGGTGTCCCTATGGCCCATAGCGACACCCATGCCACGTGACAATTTTTTTTTTGGCCCAGAATGGGCTGGATTGAGCCACATCAATGTCGCTATGGGCTGGGCCACCACAGTTGATGGACCAACAGAAATGATGTAGCCCATAGCGACACCATGTAAGAAAAAAAAAAGAAAAAAGAAAAATAATTTAAATGTAACTTAAAAATAATAAACTGAGTTATTTATTATATATTTATAAAAATAAAAATAAGTTGTTTAAAAACGTAATTTTAAAATATGTATTTTAATTATTTATAAGAGTGGCGCTATGGCCTATAGCGACACAGTGTCGCTATAGGCCATAGCGCCACTAATTCATTTGTTTTTTTTTTAAATTATTAACTTATTTTGTTTTAAAATAGTGACAATATAGAAAGTAATAATTCATCACTAACTAATTAAGGATGCTTGGAATAGTGATTAATCTCTTTACTTCCCCTCTTTCGAACTTCGGCTGCAACAAATGAACCGTAAAATGGGTATGAAAGACTTTATCCTTGATATGGTTCAATCATTTCCGGAACTCTCTTGGGTGCCATGTCGCTACCTTGCATCACTCTCTCATATCTCCAAATGCATTTCAGTATCTCTTTTCCATATGCAATCTCTCTGGAAACAACACGTATTACAATTTGAAAATATTGAATCCTCCTATAGCGCTCACGAGTCGCTATGGCCTATAGTGCCAAAAATTCGCTATAGGCCATAGCGACTTGTTTTTTTTTTTTTTTCTTTTCAAATTTTATATTATTAATTTATTTAAAATATTAATTTTATATTTCTGTTATTATAAAAATTTATTTAATTTCAATAAATTATTTATTTTATTTTCTTTTATTCTTATTTATATTATTAACTTTTTTCAAGTTTTATTTTTAAATTTCTGTTTTATTCCATTTTATTTTTAAATATTTTTTTCCTTTTAATTATTTTTTCCTTTTAATAAAGAAAATACAGAAAAGATAAATATATAAATATAGATTTATATAAAATTCATAAAATAAATTAAAAAGTGGAAAAAATAAATTAAGTAAATAATTAAAAGTGGCGTTATGGCCTATAGCGACACAGTGTCGCTATAGGCCATAGCGCCACTTTCACAAATTCGTATTTTTTTTAAAAAAACTATTTACTTATTTTTTTTATATTTTTTTTAATATTAAAAATGGGGCGCTGTAGGCTATAGCGACTTCATTGAAGCCGTTTTGTGTCGCTATAGGCTATAGCGACATTATCAATATGGCTTTCATGGCTTTCCTGAAGTTTAAAAATTCCACGTGGCATGGGTGTCGCTATGGGTCATAGCGACACCATTGTAAACAGCCCCAAAGGCGTAAATACTTTCAAAAGAGCCCCATTTACGTAAATAAGTTGGTCAATGACCCCACTTTGGTCAAAAAGCCGGTTTTGGGTCATTTTCGAAACTTGGAGGAGTTGCTGCTGAACTTCGCGCTGGGTGCTGTTCTTCACGCCGAGCGCGTGACCACGAGGAGGCTCTGTTTAGGCAAGCCGCCGGGCGCAAAGGTGTGTGCGCCGGGCGAGCTTGAGAATGGGAGTCTCTGGTTGGCCCTCACCGGGCGGGACTTGAGCTGCGCCGGGCGCGATATCAATGGTGACCTATTTTGGATGTCCTGGTACTGCGCTAGGCGCGTGTTTGGACCCGCTGAGCGTGAGACTCCTTGGGAGTCTCTGCCAGAAGGGCGCTGGGCGCAATTCAAATTGCGCTGGGCACGAGATCAAGGGGAGGTCTCTGCCTTCCCCGCGCTGGGCGCGGGCCTAGGCACGCTGAGCGCATGAGACTCCATGGGGTCTCTGCCTGGCAAGCGCTGGGCGCAATTCTAAATTGCGCCAGGCGCGTGAGGGGGTCACGCCGAGCACGAGAAGTCTTGCGATGGGCGCGCTGGCCCCTGGTGCCCTCTAGATGTGCCGTGCCGGGCGCAACCATGGGTGCGCCGGGCGTGCTTGAGGATGTTGAATTGATGTGCTATTAGCTGTTAAACTTTGCTGAAATTGCTGAGAGAGGTTGTTGTATGCTGAACTAAGCTGAGATGGATGTTTATGCTGTGCTGACTAGTTGTTATTGCTGAAAAATATGATGTTAAGCTGTGATAGATGTATAATGTTTTGCTGAGCTTGGCTGTTATTGATAATTTTAAATGTTGTATTATATGATATTGTTGTGCTCTAGAATGATGAGTTGAGTTGTGTGTAGTAAGTTGTATTGAATACTACTTAGTTGTGCCGTATTGTTGATTTAATGTGCTGTGTTGTGAGCTATTTTGCTGTGTTGTTCATTTGCTGAGTTGTATGCTGTGTTTGGCCACTATTGTGGTACTGTTATAGCCGCTTTGTCGGTGTTGTTATAGCCACTATTGTGGTGCTGTTATAAGCCGCTTTGTCAGTGCTGTTTATAGCCACTATTGTGGTACTGTTATAGCCGCTATGTCGGTGTTGTTGTTAGCCACTATTGTGGTGCTGTTATAGCCGCTGAGCGATGCTGATATTGCTGAATTGTTGTGGTGTAGTAAGTTGTGCGGATGCGCTAATAACTGTAGTTGTTTACCATTCATATATTTAAATATGTATGTTGTTTTCTTTACACTAGCTTACCCATTGTTGTCTCCATGATGTTTGGACTGCAATGATCATACTATGTATGGGAGCAGAGCAGGGATAGGTTGGTGGCTGAGGGTGAGTCTGTAGCTGGCAGACGGAGCTGAGCTTTTAGGACCTTTTTTGTTGTTTTTAGCTACCTAACTGAGTGGCCTTTGATGTATTTTTGTACACTTTAACTCTATCCAGATTTGGATCATGTATATGTATATATTCTAGACCCTATATGTATACACTTGTTCCTCTCTGTGTGGTGTTTCTAGTGTGTTGTGCCGGGTGTAGTGACCAGCTGGGTCGTTACACTTTAGTGGTATCAAAGCAGTTCGAGTCTAGTGGATGCTCTTTGGGGGTGGTTCCTTTAGGCTTTTGTTGTGCTGAACTCTATGTTGTGCTGTCTTGCTGTGTTGTTGCTGTGCTGATTGATGTGATGTTTGATGTGTTGTTGATTGCTGTTTGGTCTAGTTATTGTGTACTAAAGATGCTGTTACTTTTGTAGACAATGTCTAGAGCCAACGAACAGATAGCCCGGGCCATGGAGATGATGGCCATGGCTATGCAGCAACAGAATGCCTATTTTGCTAGGGCAGAGGCGGATAGAGCTGCGGCTGGTGCAGCAAGGCCCACTGGGTCACAGGAGAGCCGGGACCTAGCCGAGTTCTGAAAGTGCCATCCTCCACAGTTTAGAGGAGATGCAGATCCAGAGGTAGCTGACCACTGGATTTGTGAGCTGGAGAAGATTTTTGCAGTGTTGGGCTGTTCACAGGAGAGAAGGTTGGCATATGCTGTATATATGCTGGTTGGGGAGGCAGAACATTGGTCGAGAGAGACCCATCACATGCTGACCGCCAGAGGGGTGGTTGTTGACTGGGAATGCTTCAATAGGATGTTCCTGGAGAAGTATTTCCCTGAGAGTGTGAGGCATGCCAAGGAAGTTGAGTTCATGCGGTTACACCAAGGAGGGATGATTGTTTCTGAATATGCGATGAGATTCGAGCACTTGGCTCGTTTTTATTTGCAAGGTATAGCTGAAGCCTGGAAATGTCGAAAGTTTGCTGAGGGACTAGTTGGGTCCAAGAAAGGCGGGAACCAGAGGAAGTCGTATGATAGGCCCCAACCTCAACAAGGGGGTCCTGTCATTAGACAACCTTCTGGTGCTGCAGGTGGAGGGAGGCAGGGTGGAAGTGCCACTCTGAGATGTTATAGGTGTGTCGGGCCCCACTTTGTCAAGGATTGCCTGCACACTAAGAGCCGTTGTTTCAGATGCCACCAGATGGGCCATGAGTCATCCAACTGTCCTACTAGAGGCAGACCAGAGAGGGGTGATGCGCAGAGGAGTGGTGCCTAGAGAGGTGATGCTTAGAGGGGTGACAGACCCACTACAGCTGGTAGAGTTTTCGCTTTGACTGGGGCTGAAGCTTCTACTTCCTCAAATCTTGTGAAGGGGAAGGGTAGAGTTGCTGGTAAGGATGTGATGATTCTTTTTGACTCTGGTGCTTCACATTCCTTTATATCTTATGCATGTGCTGCTATGCTGGGTGTGCCTGTGTGTGATTTGGGGTCGAGACTGCTAGTGTCGATGCCCGCTTCTGCTTCGGTAGTTGCTTCTGAACTGTGTGCTGGTTGTCCGATTGTGGTGAATGAGAAGAAGTATAAGGTGAACCTGATTTGTTTGCCTTTGGTGGATATTGACATAATCTTAGGGATGGATTGGTTGTCTGCCAATCGCATTCTTATAGATTGTGCCAATAGGCGGTTGATTTTTCCTCAGGTGGAGGATGAACTGTTGATTTCAGCTAGCCAAGCTGAGTCATTGCTGAGAGATGGAGCAGAGTGTTGTCTTCTGCTTGCTGCGTTGAGTGTTGAGACCGAAAGGGTCATTGCTGAAATTGATGTGGTGCGGGATTTTGCTGAGGTGTTCCCGGATGAGGTGTCAGGGTTGCCTCCTGTGAGGGAGATGGAGTTTAGCCTTGACTTGGTTCCAAGTGCGGGGCCAGTGTCGGTGGCTCCCTATAGGATGGCTCTTGCTGAGCTGGTTGAGCTGAAGGGCCAGTTGGAGAACCTGTTGGAGAAACAGTTGGTGCGGCCGAGTGTATCACCGTGGGGTGTTCCTGTGCTGTTGGTGAAAAAGAAGGATGGAGGTAGTCGACTTCCATTCCAGCAATGACTTTACATTGTGGTCTATTCTATTGTTCCAGTCTTGATGAGTGTTCCATTCTTGTTGAAGAAATGCTGGGAATGATTCATGAGTCAGCCAAGCAGCTTCAAAACGAAATGGTTTGCTACCCCTTCTTCTGTGCCCTGTAGCCAAGAGTTTGAGCAGAATAGGTGCATGATCAGACTTCAGAGGGTTTAGATGGGTAAGGAACGCATCTGGGAACATGATGCGCCATTCATAAGAGGCAAGTGATCTGTCTAATCGTTCAAAAACAGAACCCCTGCGCCATGTGAATGGAGATCCATTGTACCCTATATCCATCAATTGGCATCGGTTGACGAAATCTTTAAAAGCATTATCTCCTCTGATACAAGCATTACTAGATCCTCCAGATCTCTCGTGCTGTCTCAAAACCGCGTTAAAGTCTCCCATTAGATGCCAAGGACCGTCAATAGAAATAGCCAAGCGACAGAGATCACCCCAGAGAGCCATACGACCTTGGGGATGGGGACTCGCATACACAAACGTACAAAACCAGGGTGGAGACCCATTAAGAATCTTGAGATGAATAATTTTAAGTATTTAATGCTACACAATTATTTTTATTCATCAACATGTGAGAAGTAGAAATAATGGAGTCCACTTCTGGTTTTTTGTTTTTATTTTAAATTTTAATTTATAAAAATATATTTTTAATATATATATTTAAAATAATAAAATAAAGAGTAAATTTAAATAAGATAATTTATAAAATAGTAAATACATAAATTTAAATATTTTTATTAAATTATTTTAAAATAGAAATCATTACAAAAATATTATAAAAACAAAATTATAGACAATTCTTTTTTTTTTATTTAGTTAAATTCTTTAAACTTGTTATAAAGGTTAATTTTTGTATAATTTATTTTATGTATATGATATTTTTTTTACAAGAGAGGAGTCTTTAGGCATAGCCCAACTTTCAGGTCAAAATCTTGCTACAACATCCATCTCAGTAAATATCAGAAAACAGGTCTCTGATCTTGTCATGGCTATCAGTGACAAGGGCATTTCCCAGCCCCTTGTGTGGATCGTTGGATCAATTGCCTTGGTCCCAATGCTTTCAGGCTCTATATTTTGCTATCAGACACAATGTCTAAATCTTGATCCTACAGTAATCGGGTGGTCTCGAGTGATTGGCCAGTTTGTACTTCTTTCAGGAACTGTGCTTTATAACCAATATTGGAAAAAAATTCCAATGAGAAAGCTGATAGGCATGGTGCAGATTCTGTATGCTTCATCTCTACTTCTTGATCTCATTCTAGTTAGACAAATAAATCTCAAATGGGGAATTCCCAATGAGGTGTTTGCTCTTTGCTTTTCTGGTTTAGCCGAAGTTGTGGCTCAGTTTAAGCTCCTTCCTTTCTCAGTTTTATTTGCAAAATTATGTCCAAAGGGTTGTGAAGGATCTCTCACAGCTTTCCTTGCATCAGCTTTGTGTCTATCATCAATAGCTAGTGCTTTTTTTGGGGTTGGATTGGCCTCTTGCCTTGGTATTACATCCGGTGATTACTCGGGTTTAACGGCAGGGATTCTTGTGCAGTTCCTTGCAGCTTTAGTACCATTAAGATGGATTCACTCTTTACCCATGTCACAACCGGGTGAGAAGAGAAAGAAAAGAAGTATGAGTAGAAGAACACGTAGAAACAGAAGAGTTGGAAAAGTTGTACTTGGTTCTGTTAATGTCTACAGGCGTGAGAGAGAATGAGAATAACAGGTGAAATTAAAATGCTCCTACCTACGAAGCTTCAATGATTATCCAAGGATGAGTGGTACTTGAGATCTGTGGTTTTCACCATGATTCTCTTGAAGATGATTTTGTCATGATAAGATGAATTCATTTTTGATAAAAGACGTAAGCCTTTGGAGTTTGCTGAAGGGGAACATGTGTTTCTGAAGGTGACTCCGACTTCTGGTGTGGGTAGAGCGTTGAAGGCAAGGAAGTTGACACCGAGGTTTGTGGGTCCCTATAAGATCATACAGCGTGTGGGTCTGGTTGCTTATCAGATGGCCCTGCCACCATCTCTTTCAATCCTACACGATGTGTTTCATGTATCCCAGCTGAGGAAGTATGTGCATGACCCGAGTCATGTGGTGGAGCTAGATGATGTACAAGTAAAGCAGAACCTGACTTTTGAGAAGTTGCCAGTAGTTGTGATTGATCATAAGCTGAAGGAGCTGAGGGGCAAGTCCATTGCTCTGGTGAAAGTGTTGTGGGATGCAGCTACTGGTGAGGCTACTTGGGAGGTGGAGCAACAGTGCCGGGAGAGGTATCCGTTTCTTTTCCCCAAGTAAGTCTGTTTTCGGGGACGAAAACTCCTGTTATTGGGGAGGTTGTGAGACCCCCGTACGGATTTTCTTTTCCCCAACCCTCTTCCTCTCTAAACTCTCACTCTCTCATTTCTCTTGCCTCACTCTCAACTTTCCATTTTCCCTTGGACCTTTCCCTTGCTGTTACAAGGTAGTGAAGCTGAGTGAAGTGGGTTGCTAGCTGGTGTCGAATCTCCTTCTTCTTCTTTCCCGTCCGTTCAAGCTCATTTCATCTTCTTCTCGTTTCTCCTTTTTCCGGAAGCTAGGAATTCTTGATTCGAGGTAAGGGAAGCTAGGTATCGCTGATCTTTGGCTTTAAATGTGTTTTAGAACCCTCTTGTTGACTGGTGTTGGTGATTCTTGGTTGAGATGGCTGAAAATGGAACTTTGGGGGGGGGTTTGGGTTTTGAAGGAAATTTGGGGATTTTTGATGTTTAGTGGTTGCATGTTAAAAATGAGGCATTTTTATTGTTGTTTGATGAAAATGGGAACTTTTGGCTGGATTGCATGTGTATTTTCTGTTAAGTTTTGCAGGTTTTGGGTCATTTTCGAAACTTGGAGGAGTTGCTGCTGAACTTCGTGTTGGGCGCTGTTCTTCGCGCCGGGGGCAAAGGTGTAAGCGCCGGGAGAGCTTGAGAATGGGAGCCTCTGGTTGGCCCTCGCCGGGCGGGACTTGAGCTGCGCCGGGCGCGATATCAATGGTGACCTATTTTGGATGTCTTGGTACTGCGCTAGGCGCGTGTTTGGACCCGCTGAGCGTGAGACTCCTTGGGAGTCTCTGCTAGAAGGGCGCTGGGCGCAATTCAAATTGCGCTGGGCGCGAGATCAAGGGGAGGTCTCTGCCTTCCCAGCACGGGCCTAGGCACGCTGAGCGCGTGAGACTCCATGGGGTCTCTGCCTGGCAAGCGCTGGGCGCAATTCTAAATTGCACCAGGCGCGTGAGGGGGTCACGCCAGGCGCGAGAAGTCTTGCGCTGGGCGTGCTGGCCCCTGGTGCCCTCTGGATGTGCCGCGCCGGGCGCAACCATGGGTCCGTCGGGCGCGCTTGAGGATGTTGAATTGATGTGCTATTAGCTGTTAAACTTTGCTGAAATTGCTGAGAGAGGTTGTTGTATGCTAAACTAAGCTGAGATGGATGTTTATGTTGTGCTGACTAGTTGTTATTGCTGAAAAATATGATGTTAAGCTGTGATAGATGTATAATGCTATGCTGAGCTGGGCTGTTATTGATAATTTTAAATGCTGTATTATATGATATTGCTGTGCTCTAGAATGATGAGCTAAGTTGTGTGTAGTAAGCTGTAATGAATACTACTTAGTTGTGCCGTATTTCTTATTTGTTGTGCTGTGTTGTGAGCAATTTTGCTGTGTTGTTCATTTGTTGAGTTATATGCTGTGTTTGGCCACTATTGTGGTGCTGTTATAGCTGCTTTGTCGGTGTTGTTATAGCCACTATTGTGGTGCTATTATAAGCCGCTTTGTCGGTGCTGTTTATAGCCACTATTGTGGTGCTGTTATAGCCGCTATGTCGGTGCTGTTGTTAGCCACTATTGTTGTGCTTTTATAGCCGCTGAGCGGTGCTGATATTGCTGAATTGCTGTGGTGTAGTAAGTTGTGCGGATGCGCTGATAACTGTAGCTGTTTACCATTCATATATTTAATATGTATGTTGTTTTCTTTACACTAGCTTACCCTTTGTTCCCTCCATGATGTTTGGACTGCAATGATCATACTATGTATTGGAGTAGAGCAGGGATAGGTTGGTGGCTGAGGGTGAGTCTGTAGCTGGCAGACGGAGCTGAGCTATTAGGACCTTTTTTGTTATTTTTAGCTACCTAGTTGAGTAGCCTTTGATGTATTTTTGTACACTTTAACTCTAGCCAGATATGGATCATGTATATGTATATATTCTAGACCCTATATGTATACACTTGTTCCTCTCTGTGTGGTATTTCTAGTGTGTTGTGCCGGGTGTAGCGACCAGCTGGGTCGTTACAATTCCAATATAAAACTTTTCCAAAGATTATATAATAAACCATTTCAGATGTTAGGTGGATTCTGAAGTACTCCTCTAAGTATTCTATTTGCTACCGGTATATGGGGGCAAGGCCGAGTCATACCGATGGATGAAGTGGTCGCGATCATTAGGGTTACGTGATGACGTGACCCAGCTGTATATTCTCCATGAAAGGTTAGGTGTGTGACATGGGCAGGTGACATGTTCAGGAATTCAACACTTGGTTTGGATGTGTTGAGGTCAACATTTGGTTTGGATGTGTTGGCTACTTCATGGGATTATACAGTGGTGTGATTTTAGTTTGGATGTGGAATCTATATGCATTTGGTATGGATTGTATACATTGGTTATGGATTCTTTATTATCATAAAATATGTATGCATTGGCATGGATGTGTATACATTGGACTTTGGATTGATTTATATTTGGCATGGAAATGACTTGTTATAATGTTGTCATTCCATTGGTATGGATACATACTGTTGATGAATATCTAGTTTAATGATATTTCATTTTATTGTACTATGATTGGTTTTATACGTGCTAACCCTTATATTTCCATGATGTGGACTGTGATGATCTCACTATGTGGGGGAGCAAATCAGGTGTGAGGCTTTGGGATGACAAGGAATCTTTTGGTAGCTGCTTTAAGAAGTGGCTAGATTTAGAGCTTGACCAGCACCTAGGCTGTCCCTTTTGATGTTTTCATGATGTTGTACATTCATTATCTTTTTGGATGACTGTATAACCCTACTGATGATGACCATTTTTTTTAAAAATTATGTTTTATATGATGAAAACAATTTACACATCATTTTATATTTACACTCTAGTGTAGCTGGCCTTTGCTCTATTTTCTTTATTATATATTATTTTTATTTTAGTTGTCATATTGGTTGTTGATGTGACGGCTTAAGGCGGGTCGTTACAGTGAAAGATAGTGGAACTTAATCAATTAATTAAGAACTTGGCATAGTTTTGATGGTTGAGATAAAGCATAAAAATCTCTCTAGTTCACTTGTGTTCGGCATGGTAACTTGCACGCCCAATGCTAAGGGATCAAGGACCCCTCTAGTACTCTCGAGCATGCCCAATGAATGATGCTCAAGAAATCAATATCAACTTGGGCCAAGGGACCTCTCAGTGTCTCTCACGCCTGACATGGCTCTCCCCATACCTAGCACTAAGAACTGCACTTGTTGTACCAAATACCTTAAACGCATACCTAATGTTGTTGTTAATTTTGTACTTCGTAAAACTAGGACTTAGGGTTCCTCAACCCCTCAAATTCGCACTCAAACTTATTACTCCAAATCAACTAGTAGAATATTATTAATTCACTCATAGAACACTTACAAGTCATCAAATTATGTTAATCCCTCCAATTCACACAAAACTCCCAATTCATACGAACCTTAACCCTCAAAAGTGACAATATATAACATATAAGAATTCCACATCACAAGTTTATGAGATTCATCATCATTCATAGTCATACATTAGCAACAACCTCATATTAGTAGTCACCTCATTAACCGTATATATACAATAATAAATCCTAGAGAGGCTTAGAAATCATCTTACTACTTATATCCACCATACATGTCCATAATGTGAAACAAATTCACTCTCTCTCTTACCTTAAATGATGATCTTTGAGGCAACAAATACAAGATCTACAGTTTGGAGCTACTCCATACACTTCTTAAGATTTTCCTTTGCAAGTTCTCTTAGATTGTCAAAATTTTGAATAAGCTTATGAAACCTAACCTTTCCTCTTTCTTATTAAAAGACTAGTTAGATTTATTGAAGATTACGCCACTAACCCATCTTATTTTATCTTGTTTATTTTATAAAACATCTTTTTATCATAAACTCAATTAACAAATTAATTAAGCATATGATATTGATATTATTTAAATACTTTATCTTATTTAATATTTTCAAAAAGAAAAAAAAACAAGATGGTACAGTCGAACCTCTTATAATAATGCACGAGGAAGCATGAGGAGCTTTTCATTAGAGGTACATATACATTAAAACAAGTCTTCCTTCAATAACATTATAATGTAGGACTATATCCTCTCGAAGCTCCTTAGAATTGCATATCAAAATTGTCCATCAAAATTACAGATCAGAACGATGACTTTAGAATGGTTACTTCAGTAGTGACAGGTTATGCATAGTTGGCATAGTTTAAAAACTTCCTTAAACAAAATAGTTGTTACACCATGGCCCCACGTCTACTGACCTTAGCCTAGGTGCATATAAAAGTACTTAGAGATGGAACTTTGAAAGCATGAAGCTAGTAATAGAAAGAGAAATTAAGTTTTTATAAGCTCTACTTCATATATCCCTCTTTTAAAACAAAAAGTTACAATAACTAATTTAAAAAATGTAGTTTAATTAAGAACTTATTTAATAATTTAATCTAAAATAAAATAAAATGAAACATATTATAATGTATGCATTTTAATATACATACATGGTTATCTAATAATAAATTATTAAATATAATAATTTTACTAACTTTTATATTTAATTATCTTAAAAGTTATATTAACAATATTTTCTGATTGAGTTATAGTGTAATTTTTTAAAATAATTAAACACTATTTTAATTTTTTTTGAAACATTTAAATTTTGTTAAAAGGTGTAAAATAAATATAAAAAAGGGACATAAACAATACAACTGTTCCACTTGATGGGTCTACTCTCTTATGGAATGGTACTTTCATATGTAGTTTCATATCCTCCGAAACTTGTATTTACATTTACTTTCTGTCTTGTTCCCTCTTCCAATCCTATTGGAACCACCATTCTAATCCAACTTCCGCATGCTTCATTATTTCCTCTACCCATATCTCTACATCTACCATTTTACCCACTCCACATAAATAAGCCCTTATGATAATCTTTTCATTTTAATCAAACCCCAAACTCCTCTAGCCACCCACAACATGGAGGCCAATCCTTCTCACACTACAATCCCTCATCTTCACCATGCTCCATACACCCCCTTGCTCAACCACTCATCAAGAGTAAACAATAGCCATAGACATTCAAAGGGTATCCTTATTGTGATACTTTGTTCCATTCTTTTTCTAATGTCATTGGTTGCATTCATCGTGAATCAAGGCCAAAACTACTTGCAAATGTCGGAGAATGGCAACACAGAAAATATTACCTCTTTCTCTAACATCTCTTCCAAGCCTAGAGGGGTGGCTCAAGGGGTTTCAGCCAAGTCCAACCCAACCCTTTTCCAGAATGTTTCATATAATTGGACCAACGCCATGTTTGCTTGGCAAAGAACAGCTTTTCATTTTCAACCACAAAAAAATTGGATGAATGGTAAGTACATATGTTTCTTTTTACTAGATTATATGGACGTTTCACAAGGTTTTATAAATTGTATTGATATTTTCAGTTTCTTTTTTTAACATTTATAGTAATTTATCTCACTGTATAATGCTTTTCAATTAATTAAAGGTTAATGTATATAGAGAAAATTAGTATAATATTGTTCAAACTATTAAGGAAGATTATTATGAAAATAAAAATGTAGAAAGTGTTTGTATAATTTTATAAAATCTTAGTACTTATGTTAAATAAAAAAAATCACATGTGTCAAAATTACACTTATATTTTGTAGTTGCTTTAGGGAATGGTAGGTGAGATTTTGGTCCGTCATTACCTTTTAAAGGCATATTTGGTGTTGAAGATATGATACAATACACTATAAGAGTTAGATATGATAAAAGTGAGATAAAGATTAATTCTATCACATGTTTGATGCATATTATAATAATAAACAAGATGAACATACGTTATGTATTTAATACATAATAAAAGGATTTGATTAAATTATATTCAAATAAAAAGTACTTTATTAAAATTACTTTTAATATTTTAAAAATAAGTTTTAATTTAATTTTTAAAATTTTTATATTAAAAATATAATCTTAACTATATAATACAAAATTTTTATAATATATTTTTCTTAAAATTCTAAAATTATATAGTATTTTTAAATTATAATTATTATTTAAATATTTTTGAAATTTTAAATAATTGTTTTTGTTTTAATATTTTAGTTAATAAAAACTTTTTTTACATGTTAAAATTATTATAATTATATAAGATAAAATGTATAAAAAAAATATAGTATATATCATATAATTAATATATAATATATATTTTTATATATATTATAAATTAATATTTACTATATTATATTTATAATATATATATATATATATTATCTTATTGACACAACAAATCTATTAATTATAACAGAATATTCTATCATATTTATTATAGGTTTAAATATTTTTTAATCTCTTAAATTTAAGATAAATTTATTTTTAATCTCTTAAATTTAGAATTAATTTTTAAAAAAATTATTTTAATTATATTCAAATTTTATTAAAAAACTTATTAAATATTATCTCATAAAATTTATTTACTGATATTCTTGTTAGTAAAAATAATAATTTTAAATTTGAGAGATAAAAATAAATTTATTGAAAGATTAAAATGATGTTAAAATCTTTATTTCATTATATCTGGACCACTAAAATTTCAAATTTTTTCTTGTTTATTTATTTATTTATTTATTTAATGATGGTGAGGCTAATCAACAATGTCTTGTTGACCAACTGTTGTTCCGGTTTCGCACGTGCTGATGTCTCCTTCAATTGGCTTCAGATCCTGACGGTACGTTCTCCTTTTATCTCTAAATTTTATTTTATTTTCATCTTTCTTTTTTCTACTCTAAATTTATTACTACTTATTCTTGCATATAAGAATTTTTTATTTTTTAAGAACCTCTTCTAATTATCAGATTTATTACTTATATCTTCTATAAAATATTTTTATTTGATTAATATTTTTTAGATAAAAAATAATAAATGATTAAAATTAATTAATCTTTTTTATTAAAATTGGAGAAAATAAATTAAATAGATACAAAGATATCTCTATTTCAAATTTTAATTAATTAGATGAGAAGTGATTAAATAAAAATTGTAACGACCCGACAGGTCCTACACGCGCCACGGAACACCGGAAATACTAGGCAGAAAGAACAAGTATATAAATTAGACAAAGTATATTGAAATGCGTCTGAAGACCACTATTCACAACGAGAAATATCATATATCGTCTCCAATCATAAGAAGAGCACACGGAGTCATCAAAAATATGAAAACGAAGGAGAAAAATAGATGAGCGCGAATTTGCAAGTCAAAGCTACGTGTGTCAGAGCAAGTACACCTACTTTTCAAAAAAAGACAATGCTGCTGCAGTTTCACTAACGGAAAAAGAAAAGAAATACCTAGTTTATGATTAAAGTCAGACATAAAAGAGAACAAACAATATAAAGGACTTCATGTAACTCAGATTTGGCAAGCAAACATTTAATGCAAGATCAAATGCATTAAATGAAAGATCTACATAGCCATGAATAAACTACTATCTGCACCAACGGGAAGCTTTGCCTCAACGGAAACATTCAAATTCAAACAACGGGCAGATTCATCACAAGGATATAAATATCAAGACCTGAGAAGAGAAGAGATAGAGAAGTGAAGCAACGAGAAAAACGAACGTTAAAAACAATCTTACATCTCTTCTGTACAGTTTCATATATTTGTGTAAAACTAAGATAGCTTATCTTAGTGAGTGTAGAAATTACCATATCCTCTCTGTGAGAGTTACATACACACTCTAAACACATATCCTTGTAAAACTAAGGTTGAATACCTTAGCGAGTGTAGAAACCATACTATCCTCTTTGTGAAAGTCGCATACACACTCAAAACATATATTGTTTGTAAAGCCTGAAGAGGCTAGTAAAAGAATACTTGGAGAACCAGAAGTGGTTTAAGAATACTAACGTCAGCGAGTGAAGTTGACGAACCAGAAGTAGTTAAGAATACTTGGGGAATCAGAAGTGGTTTAAGAATACTAACGTCAGCGAGTGAAGTTGACGAACCAGAAGTGGTTGAGAATACTTGTAATCCGTTGTGATTAGTGAAACCCTTCAGTTGAAGGAGACTGGATGTAGCTCAGGTCGAGCAAACCAGTACAAAAAACTTTGCACTTCTTATCTTTCCTTCAGATGCAACTTCTCTTTAAGCTTATATATTATATTGAAGTTTCGTCCACTGATTAAATCATTTTTACAGTAAACATTTTCAGACGAAAAATACATTTTTCCAACTCATTACTTAGAAAAAAAAATTTACCTATAAGAAAACTTTTCTTCAAGCAGACGATAAACCATCAGACTGAAAAATCCTTTTCTAAGCCAACCGTGCTCAGTTTCAAGTGTTCAAAGTAATATTCTCATTAGACGAAAAATAGTCTCCTTGCGAAACGTTTTTAAAACTCCTTCGTACACACACATTCAAACCCCCTTCTGTGTGTTTTTCCGCTAGCTTCAAGAGTAGCCTAAAAGAACATGTCAAGTCAAGTCATCACAACACTCTACATTAGAAGAATATACACCAGAGCGTGTCAGTATATCATATCGATGTTGGCTAAGTTACATCTCATGCACACAATGGGCAGAATTAGGGGTCCTAATCTCGACTACCCCCAAGGTTATGAATCCTTAAACTTTTACACAAGGGGACCTTTCCTAGTGGCATATTGCGCATCATATCCATTCAAAAAATCAACCGATGCATATGATGCATGTCATATAAGAATTTTATGCAATTCATGTTTCAACACAAGTCATCAACTCAAACTAATATAAATATATTTATCACTTGTATCAAAGATTTTATCTAAACATCACACTAAGCACAACTCACTAGGTGATCTCGCCCATACTTTCACACTATTAAATTGAACTTAGGTTTTCTCGCATACAACACATCACATGTCTCACAATGTCATCAAGGGTCACTTAAACCAATACATGCATTGATTCCACTAGTAACCTAATACAATGTTCTCAATTAACCAACATAGTATATTCAATATTACCAAAACATCACCTAGTGTAGTCTAGGTCGAGAGCATACTTCACTCTCTAGAAAGATCACGCCCTGGGCAAATCTCCCGTGCCTAGCAAATTTACAATAAGGAGCCCCCTAGAGCTCTGATAGACCAATTTTTGTATATTTTTTATACATTATTTTTGGTTTATTTGACTTTTATTAGTATCATATTGTGATATATTAGCTTTGATTTTTTTATAGTGATTCGTTTTGGTCTTAGTTGTAAATTTTAGTTAATTCTCATAATTTTTTCTTGTTTTGACATTGTTTCTTGTATAGGCCATATCTAGAGCTCCCGAGATTGGATTTGGATGTTCTTGGTGTCCCTTGAAATATAAGAGAGATTTCTACAACTTCTATATTGGGAGTAAAGGCCAGTTCGAACGTTAAGTAACCCAAAAGTGCATTGCAAAGTTGCGGCCCTACACAGTATTTTATTCTTATTTTTAGAATATAATGTTAAGATTTGTTTAGGATGTAATTAGTTGATTTAGTGGGCCAAGCCTTATAAATATTTGGATTAGGCCCATTATATTTTTATATTAATAGGTGTTATGAGACTTGTTATGTACATTTTACACTCATTTTTCAGATTTTAGAGTTCCTCTACAAGTTTCTCTAAATTCGTTCTTCTCTTTCTTCTCTCTCTTCGAATTTTCTCTTTATATTTTTCTACACAAAGGAAATACAATGTTTTGATGAAGATGTGTGGCTAATTCGTGCATCCGATTCTAGTTTTCAAGAACTATAGTAAAATTTGAGTTTCCGATCTTTTTACTGAACAAAATCACTTCGTCTTCTTCTTCGTTCTAGATCTATTTTCTATTTTTTCATGATTATGAATTTTATTTTAATGGATCCATATCAGATTTGAAGATTAATTTTATATCTAGATTTAGATTTAGACCTAAAATAACCTAAATCACCTAATTCAACCATTCACCATTTTTAAATTTTATTAAAATTGTGAGATCGCGATTGCGTTTCATGTTTTTATAAAATTCAATAGATCTAGATTTCGATCTACATTTAGATTATGTTCATGTTGATTTAGGTTGATTGAGAACTCGAATTTCTTGTTGAACTATGAAAGTTTTACCATAACGATTGAAATCTTGAATTGATATAATTTTTTATTGAATTTTTTGTCTATGTTTGTAATATTCTAAATTCTCTTTGTGGTTTATAAAAATTCTGATTCTAATTAAGTGATAATATTGGATCCAATTGGCTTGAGTTTTTTAGAAGAATGATCTAGATTGTTCCCTATATTACAAATCTTTGGGGAAAATCTAATATTTTTTTATAGTGATTTGACAAACGCTATCAAGCTCCCACACTCGACATGAAACTGCCCACACTTGGCGTTGGCATCAACGTCATAGAGAGCAATCCATGCTCTTTGGCATGCTCTCACCTGATGACCACTCATGGGGCCCGATAATGCATTAGTAGAAATGCATCTACAAATATTTCTGAATTTCACACATAATCATAACATACATTTTCACGAATACCAACCAATCAAAAGATACAATTGCATGATTAAGCATTACTAAACCATCAATTCATATGCAAATTCATTATTTCTTACTAATTCAATTTATTCTATCCTTAGAGTTCGAGCCTACATACACTCAAAGATTCACAATTACAGGCATTAGTAGAGATTATAAACATGACTACTTATCTAACATACTCAGAGCATAGAAAAATGATTAACAACACATATTCACACATTATAATCATAGTTTGAGGTTTCCCTCTCATACATCATGCACAACAAGACGAGATTGAAGGTCAATCCCACTTTCCATAGATAACCCACATCCTAGAGAGAGGTTTCCACTCCCCTTTAGCTTGATGGACGTCAAACATCAGGTGTAGATCTCCAAGGCCTTTTTTAGCAACTTCCAATTCTCCTTTCTTTTCAGATTAAAAAAATGCAATTAATTATGAGAGGCAACCCTAGCTTACTATTCTATATAGAGCAATTGCTAAAACATTAACTTGTGTGTAACTTGTCGGTAAAAACCATTTAACCACAATTAATTACTCCTCTCTTAAAATTAAATAATAATTTATAATATTAATTTCAAAATATTTCATTTTTATTTAATAACACTTATCATCATAGAATAACCACAATTAATTATTTAAAAATTATTTTATTTAATTTATTCTTAAAATTTTGGGACGTTCCAAGAGCAATCATCATCTTATAAGTTAGTTTTGCAATGCATATATGATGAAAACTTACTACCCAAGGATTCCTTTGGAAGAGATAAGATCAAGAAAGGTGAAGAATGATAAAGTTGGTTTAAAGAATTATGGGGTACTTACCTTTATTTTGTAGGGTACCCTACCTTTGGAGGACTATCTTATCTTAAAGGACTCCTATTGTTTTTATACACTTTTCTTGTAATTCATTTTAGTAGTGATTGTATTAGGATATTTTTGACCTTGTATTTTGGGTCAAATAGTGTATGTAATTTTATCCTTGAAATTAGTAAATTAGGAGAAGTGTAAGTAGCTAAGTCTTGTTAGATTTATTTGGGCTTGGATGGCCTAAATTTTCTTGTGGCCCATAGGTTTGGACATTCATTTGCTTATGCAAGTAGTTTAGACATCCAAATAAAGCCAAGCTTGCCATCCAAGCTACAAATTAAGTCACATGGCTTTGATAGTGACATCTCAACAACTTGT